ATGTGTGCAACACTTTCCACTATTTACTACAAAATAGTGTTAATTAAACAATAGAAAACAATAGAATCATTAGCACACGTTAGCAGTATTTAGTGGTATTTATGTTGAACAGTTTTAGTTTTTGTACTCTACCATACCATTTTTTTAATTACAAGTACTGTATCAGGACGTAACCATTTTATTTCCTCAACAGCCAAACTGTGTCGCTGAAGTTGTAACATTTGAAAAGGAGCAAAAAATCATCATCATCTCAAACCGCAAAGTTGAACGTGGAGAAGAGGTGAGTTGTATAAAGACTCTGCATATACTCCATCGGTGAGATCTTGTAGAACTTCTCGACTTCGGCGTTACGCTRTCTCATTTCAAATCGTGCATGTTTAAATTGGGAAAATTCGAGKAAGATATTCTCAAAGAACTGGCATGTTGTTAGGGACGGTGGCGCTCTAGTCGAAGTGATATGTTATAGTTGTAGAATCACTAGTTTTTCCATTACGATTGTCAAAATTAAATATCGTTTGTCCCTTCATYTTATCGATTTTCACAACATTTCTTTTTCTACATAGTTAACCTACGATTACAAGTTTGATTTTGAAGACGACGAACACAAGATTTCATGCCTTTGCGGAGCTCCAAACTGCCGCAAATGGATGAACTAAAAATACGAATCCATCATATTTATTAGAGGAACTAAAGTCCCTCTGCTTATCACTTAGTTAGCTTCCATTTTTGATAATGAATCATAATGAATCCAATCCATATTAATAAAATGATAAGAATTAATTATGCATTAAGAAATCGTAAATAATAAGAATAGAGTTAAAACGAAATATAGAATATGTCTGCAGTTGGTGGCAGTTAATTGCTACACGACTCAGACGTCAATTTTTTTCAGTCTTTCAACGTGTAACTATTAATATAGAAATACAGATAAACGTCATGTCTTGACCTTCATTCGTTCTGTTAATGAATAGTGCGTACCTTGTCTTGTATAGACATTTTTATGGATTTTATTATAATATCCTGTACTATCCTCTAGTGTGAATAGCATGTAAATATGACAATATGGCAGTCTCTGCCCACTTTTATTATCCAATATTTGCAGTGAAATAAAATGCTATGTTTGCTGGTTTATTTGAAACGATCGTGGTTGTCTGGGTGGGGGGTGTCTTAGCGTCAGTTCAAACGTCGAAGTTTACACTTGACGTGYTACAAAGCGACCAAACATAATTTGCGTTTTCAAACTGATGTGACATTTTCAAATTAATGTGAAAACGGTAAAAACTATGCGCCTCGTGGACGTCTTCTCAGTCGTTTCCGATATCGTCAGAACGGCTACGATGAAGTTCAGAAAGTCCTTGACCTCCCCACAATTCATTGCCAGCTGTTGTCAGCTTTTTCATAGATATCATCTAAGTCGTAAATTTTCATGTATTTTGGGGTGCAAGTCATCTGTAGTCTGAAGGGCATTTCGTCGATAAAAGCTGGAGGTGAAACAGCGGGAAGTCGGTCGTGGGAAGGGACAGAATTTTCCACTATCTCCGACGTGTGAATCAGCTATTACTTGTCCTTGTGCATGCAATCTTGAATTAAAAACCTTCAAACTGTGCGAGTTTTAGATGAATAAATGAAAATAGAATCACTAATTTGAATAGATAGAAATCAGTTCCAAACCAGATCTCTGCTAGTTTTTGCAGTCTTGCTAGACAAAGATAGGTAGCAAGTATGTGTTTTTTTTTAAAAAAGAATCGACCAAAAAGATGCCAAATAGACTATTCTCGTGGGAGGGTGAGCTGATAATTTTTATCGTGTTCATCATATCCTCTTACGAGAGGAAATACGTATCAATTCGTGCTGATTCAAGTTTATGTTTAGCCTTTTGACCTGTCTTCTCGACTCTCGAAATATTTCAAAGGGATGATTTTGGAGATGGTATTCAGTCAGTTTTAGTCAATTTCAAGAGTAAAAAGTACCGACAATAATCCTATGACATCGAGTCTAGCAAAAATGAAAAATTCTTGCCATTGCTTCCAGCCGTCTGCTTCCGAAATGCTAATCAAATTATTTTTGTTCAATGTGCTACACAGACGTGTCCATATTGGCGGTTTATGTAGGAAGCTATTAGTGATATTGTGGTGTTTGCAGACCGTAAGGCTCCACTTCGGCCCTCAAAAAGATCAAACTCGCACTGACGTATTTCAATCGGTGCGCTGTCAAAGGGAGGCGGCAATCGTGTGGCAGCCTATCGCTGAAAGAAATTTGTGAGTTCAATCAAACTGTGATTTACGTATAAGCAGGTCACATCTTTTCGATGTGAAGTAAATAAAAAAAAAATAAGACTGAAATTCAATATWTTTTTATTGTTTTGTGATTCCGTGATCTCTGAACTATGTAAGATGYAAGCCCTAAGTATGATAAGTGAATGTACGTAATTACCCATATAGTTCTGTTTGGGAGAGTATCTCTAGGGGCTAAGAATACGAACTTCTTAGACAAGGTGGTTGCAGGATCACTTCAGTGAGGCGCCGCCGTTTCTGTAGTGAGTTAGTACGTGTGTCATCTTGCAAAGACATCTAAGAGACCAAACAATGACCAAGTCTTATCTATGACACATGGAAATCGCTAAAAACCATCCATCAAAAACAATCTTCGTCACTGTCTTTGTTTCCAACCTTATTCAAATTTGTTCTGCATTGTTTGAAGCCGGGAAGAAGTCACGGAACTTTATTTCTTATTTGTCTTGTTTAGTTTTACTTGACAAAACAATCCCAGACAAAAAGCCTAAAGAGAATCTATTATTCGCCGTCCAGTTTTTAAAAGGATCCGAAAACGCATAGACCGGTTACGTGTCCGTCGTAGGTTGAGTGTTTCCAAAGTTTGAAGGTTCATAAATATGGATGTTCACGTTGTCTTTGCCTTGAGGTTGTTGATGTGAATCTAAATGCATCATTTTTAATAGTTCTACAAATAAGCAAAGGGCTTTGAATGCTGTCTTCACAACTATTGGCTCATGATACGTTGAGATCCCTCACTGTTCGAGTATTTGCCCTCTTAGTCATGGTCACGTTCAACGTGATCTCGCCAACGCGATTAGGTTGTGGCGTCTTAAAGTCACATTCATTAACGCTAGCAGGTGCAAATATAATTATCCTAGTTATAGGAATATATATAAATAGTCTACGGAACACGTTCAAAATCGTTCATAGTATCATAGCTAACCAAAATGTATAATCAATGTTTTTGTTATTAACGAATTGAAGCATGGCTGTTTTCTCTAAGTACCAAAGTTGGCATCATTTCAGTTTTTGAGTGCTTCTTAGAAACATTTCTTCTCATTCCATGGCAACTTTTTGAAGAACATAAAATAGCGACTTTATATTTTGGACTAATGAAGTATATTGTATTTTAATCACTTTGTTGGAGTGACTACTATTCATGGTATCGCGGCCTACAAACACTGAATTCGGGCAAGCTTATTATTGTAGAATATAAAATGTTTATTAGTGGAAATATTACTCAAAAAATTCAATAGACCAATTTATAAAACTGGAAATGACTAGACTTCTCCTGATTTCTCCCGTTATATAGATTTTCTTCTTAATTTCTTTTCAGTAATATAATTTAACAAACACAGTAAATACCCTATTTATATTCCTAATAGAAACTTTCATTAGTTGAGACATCTGCTATCAGAAGAGCGCCGATAAGGAGAGCCAACCACCGCACACACAGTCGGGCGGCCAATACCCAGTATTAAACTAGGTTGACTACTTTTACTAGCGGTCCATGTCAGTAGCTACAAATTTTGGAACTTCCGAGAATCACTGAAACGTGTTGAATTCCTCCACAAGCAGTCCATTTATTTCAGCTAGCAGGTCACCATTTTCACTATCTCTATCTGTTAGTACTATTTTCAGTAGAGATGATATACGGCTCATTTATACTGATAACGCCGTGTATGTTGGACCAGTCTTTTTTTTTCGCTTTAGTCGGCTCTAATCTTAGCCTCGAGGTGAAACTCGAAGCATCACTGTCTAGGGATGAAAAAAAAAAAAAACGTGCGATCAGCCACATACGTGGGCTGTGTCTRGCAGACAAGTCACGTATTCAGCCATAAAGGATTTCCCCTTTGGTTTTCTTTTCAATTGGTAGACTTTTCTCTTCTGTGAGTCAAGTCTATTTTGTAAACAATAGTTTGCCACGGCGTGAATAGAACTCTAGTTTACCTGTGTGACCACCCACTGATCATAGATATACTAGTTAGAAATTTCTACACGCTATATTTCGTGAGACGAGCGGTGAGTTTTAATTCCAGCTTAATGTGTTTATCTTTGGTCGTATTAGCACTAAGTAGTGTCTGAGGTTGGTTACTATATTTGTCAAAACCCTATGATGCTGCAATGTTTTTGTTAAAAAAACCCTATGTTCTGTGAGATCAATCACCAATGAATCATTTTAAAGACCAAAATATATTTGTCTATAAAAAACATGTTATTGTTAAAGACGAATAACACACAAATGTTTTTTTTGAAAATTCACCTGTTGTTGGCTTTATAAATAGCTCTAACGAAAAAAGCACCCATTAAACTTGCTATATTGATAGTGGGGTACAGGTATTTAAGGTGATTTTCACTTGATTGTTRGCTAAATAAGCTAAACCGTGATCTATTGCTTTATGTCTAAATATTACCAGATCAATAGCTACATACAGTAATTATTTTACAGTCCGTGGGATGTGAATCATTCTATATTCATAAGTACACAATATGCCCTATTAGCAACTTCACAGACAGATTTTAAAGCAAAGTTATTTTAATACTTTCGTACGAGAACTCGTTGAATGAGTCACAACACTTCGCTTGACACGAGTCGCATTACTTTGGCRACGTGTACAAGTGCTACTTACATATGCTATAGCTCAATATTTTGTATTAAACCAGAAATGTGACTAATAAGTGAGAGCAAAGTTGTTGTGAGGTAGTTAGCAGGTGAAAATCCATTAAAGACTTTTAACTTTCTTACTTTTTTTGAGACAGTAGTTTATTTACCTTGGGGGATATATAGCACTAGGCTGTGCGCGCCTCAACTCATTGATACAGGTCACTGAAACAATGTCAAAAAAAGCATTAGTTACCTGACGAAGGGAGCTTTATTTAATTCTTTTTGGAGGGGAGGAGAGGGCGGTTAATGATACTTTCCATTTTCACTACTTTTTACTTACTACATCCGCCGGATGACTATATTTTGGTATATTGTTGGAAATGTTCATAAATATGGTGATTTTTATGTAGAGAAAGTTGGGTGACAAAGAGAGTGAAACCGGCTTTAGCAAAAAGAGACATGACAATTCAGTCACCGGACATATGAAATAGAAATAGAAAGGATTGATATATCCTTTTTAACAAATCTGTTTAAGGACATGGTCCACTAGCATGCAATACTGTCGTGTTTTAGATTTTTCATATATGGAAAATGAGGTGACTTCAAATATCCATTTGCAATCCGTTTCCATCCATCGGTTTAACGGTCGAATCTTAAAGCATCTCCATATAGGATAAAGGAATAATAAAGAGTAAGTTTTTGCTTATATTACGATGTATTTCTATTTTCAAACAAAAGCTCGAAAGGGATGCTGGTGGACCATCTATAAATGATTCAAAAATACGTCCTTCGCCACAGAACACAGACGATCGGAAGAAAAGGCTTTTCTTTTCTAAAAATATAGAATGCAACAGAATCACTGACCTTGGCATTAGACCTGTATAAMKCTAGGTAACACCTCAACCATCATGTGATTGGCCATAGATTAGTAACAATAGGACCCATGACAATTAGTTGCTGGCACACATGTCATCTCACCTATATCCGGACAAGTGACAAAACCTTACCCTTGTGATTTGAATAGCAATCAAAAAGCGAAWGCAAAATATTCCAGTTATGAATTAATTTTAGACGAAAACGTGGAAAATACGTTACAGATATTTAATGAAAACATACTGAAGCTATTATTGGGGGAAAGAAGGCAATGACTCGCCATTTTATTGAATAAATAAACATCCCTCAAAACGTGGTTGGAAAGCTACCAATTTCCAGGTACTAGTCTAGTTGTCTAATTGTGGGTCTCTGGGATGTCTAAATCTCAATAAACCCAGCGGATTAGATGCAATTCCGGCAGGCGAAAAAGACGTCAATTATTGTTGTCTTGGAAAGTCTTTTTTTAATGTTTATTTTATTTTGATTCCTTCTTTCTCGTAGGATTTGTGGTATTTTTTGGGCRAAACTCAACCAATTCAATGCAGGCAAAAGACAGAGATATTATATACATATATATGTTAATTAAAACTGCCGATATGGCTTCAAARCCTGYGTGTTTTGAAGTGCTCAACACCTTGCCGAASAATATGGCTGATTTATTAAACTTCGTGATCGAAATCGCTCCCTCACACAAATCACGCGCGCACCACGGTTTTGACACAGTTAGAGAGAGATCAGTTRGGAGTGGAACATTTTTAACCGCGCTAGTGACGCTTTTGTTGATGTAATTGTCTCTTACCGACAATATATTATATGCAGAATATTTTGTCCTTTTTCGGCGAATGTGTTTTAAACTAACACCTGTGCACCTGGTGCCCAACACGCCATATATGATTGAAACGTAAAAAATGAAAATAACTCCAAATATCCAAGCAAACGTCACTCTCGATAAACATTTTTGTCGTTTAATTGAATTTAAAAAAATTTCCAATATGACTGATGACCTTTTAGTCGGTTATGGAGTTGAACTTTTCGCTTTAGAAGCGTTTGTGCCTTCTTGGTTCATTTATGAATTTAAACTTGGTTTCCATGTGGACACAAAGCGCGCCCGAAAGCTTCAACAAACGTTGGAAATTATTCTTAGTACGCCCCCGCTCTGACACGTACTAGGGTTCCCTTGTGGCCGCTTTGCTAAAAAAAATAGACTTCTTTCTGAAAATGGCATCAGCTTTAGCGGTGGTTGGGAAATTTCATACTATATTTTCACTAACAAAACATTATATTCTACGGTTTTAGAGATCTTTYTAGGGTTTTGTTAATGACCAACTGCGACACCCCATGACATTTTTCTCTTTTATGACGTCATGCAACCGCGGCTAGTTTCATTTTACATCTTTTCGCTTCATTTAGTAATCCAAATTCAATTCCTGTCAATCAAATAGTCAGCATAAAAAATATTTCCCTYGTAAGGGTTCCGAAAAGTCGCTTTCGAATGCGAATAAACGTCATACAGAATATTGGCTATTCATATGCTAATGAGATGGTTTGTTTTGGTGCGTGGCGAAGCGAGCAGACCGAGATGGCCTAAAACGAGACATAAGCAGACATTCGCGACCTAGACGGTCTACCAGACGTATAACCAGACAGAAACAAGGACGCTTTCCAGACGGACTTTCCGCCGTTCCCTCGCTATGGCYTGTCTGAAGCGTTTTACAAGTTATCCAGTCCAAATTACTATCATAATGCCCCGAAAAAAGATTTTATTTGAGCGATCGCTAACACCACCCCTCCCCTAGTCTCTCTTCAGCACCAAATGGAGGCTCTTGAGCCTTCTTGAGTCATTCGTTCGAAATCCTTGTTCGAAAGGCGATTTTTTAGTTTGTTTTGATTAAAAAGGGTACAATTTCGTATGTCTCAATGTCTTTTTGTCATTTGCAACGAAAAATAGCTATATATGTCATAGTTTTATCGTTTGGCATTGGTAAATGTTATTTTAGCTACGCCATTCAACCGTAACAAGTGATGGCAAGCACACACGTTGGAGCTCGTATTTTCAGACTTTTAGGCGTGTTATAATAAAAACCACGATTCTATTTCAGCTGAGTAAGCTTACAAACTGGGGAATGATTGCCTAGAATCGGAGTCACTGGACAAGCACAGCATCATACAATTTAATACAATTTATATTACGACAAGCTGATTGAGAAACATATACAAGCATTGACCAAAATATTATATGGCATATCGACTATTATATTTATTCATCTTCTAAGTTGGAAGTGAACGTGACTAAGCAAAATTTGCCAGGTGCTCTGAAATGGAGCCGATCTCCGGAACCCCTTTGTGAGACGTGTCAAATGACATGACGAACAAGAAGGTACGAACCTTTTATACAACAACAAAGTTGTTTTACGAACATTTATGTACTGAAAAATGCATTTCTAAAGGAATATTACATTCGACTATCAAAGGTCATAAGAGATTTCGAATGTTTACAATTCAAATGTCAATCATTTTGATTGACATAAACCATGTAAGAGGCAATTATTATTGCTTAAACGACGCTGCGATTGGTCGAGAGTCGTCGAGGTACATGTCAATTATGGTCTCATTTTAGACGTGTTTCTGCGCATTTCAAGTTGTTTTCTCTCTAGAGTAAGCTTGGAGAGGATGGGTCCGGAAAATCTGTGCTGTTTGCCTCAAAATAATCCCAAAATGCCCACGATTTAATACACTAAACACCGTGGATCGAAAGATCCGAGTATGGAAAAGGCTATGTCCCCATCAACAAGCCAGAAGAGAGCACCGTCCTCTTCTGACGCGAATTTGAGTATCGTACTGAGTTTGATGTGCCATACAACATGCCACCGACAAGGGGGTGAACCAGAGAAATTTGCCAAGAGAGCTATAGAGTCCCTTGTTAAAAAACTGCGTAAAAAGACTGATGAATTAGAATCCTTAATCACTACAATAACAACAAACGGAGCTCAACCGTCGAAGTGCGTTACAATACAGAGGACATTAGATGGTCGACTACAAGTCTGTGAACGTAAAGGCTTTCCTCATGTAATATACGCCAGGCTGTGGCGATGGCCCGATATTCAGAAAATGGAAATGAAGCATTTGGACTTTTGCCGATATGGCTATGATTTGAAATACGAGAGTGTGTGTGTCAATCCGTACCACTACGAGAGGATCCGTAGTCCAGCCGGTAAGTCGTTCATCAATATTCTCGTATTTTACATTGATTTTGAATACATTTTGAGGTAAACCTGTGTTGAGGTTGATGTCCAGCGCAGCGTGCGACGGTCCTTCGGATCATCACAGACACGAATTCGTAGYCTCCTTTGAATTTTATTGGAATGTATATTGTCTTTCATCTCTATCAAAACTACAATATTTCCTGTACGTTTCATAGAATTGCCGACAATACGAGGCCAAAATTACTAAACTAGAGCACTTTTAGTTTCGTGCTGTGGGAGGAGAGATGTTTGTAACTGCTTCCACACTACGAAACTCCTGCAGAGGTAGTTTCTCAATCACATGCCAACTAAAGGCATCGTATTTTTCCGTGTTTTTCAAAACTGCCCCCGAAGTTGTAAAAAATTTGACCTTTTCGCCAAAATTTACGGCGAGATCACGGCAGAATATTTGGGCCACGTCTGATTGTCTGTCTGGACCAATTCCTCTTCTTTCTGGGCAGTACTGTGAGATACTACCTGCCCAATGTTTCATTAGTTTGCCATAAAAGCAAATATTTCGGGGAGTGGGTCTTATTTCTGATTCCARAGATCTGTTGTTTGTCATACTTGAATGGCATTTTTCAGTTTGAAGTTGCCGACGCAAAGAAAAATCATTTTCCTACGTTTTTCTGGATCGCATGACCTTGGCATCGAGCTACGTTATTACACCTTGCTCTTTCACCTAACGTAACTCAAAAAGTCTTATTTTGTCTGGGTTTTGTTTAAGTATTATTGTTGGTTAGTGGTCATTGTCTGGCTCGGATACTTCGCGTCTGAAATGTCGTCTGTTTTGCTCATAATTTATGTTAGTTGTCTACGCGCGTGTAAATCTTCCCTTTATCGTTGTGTTCAGAGTCCTAGAAGGTGATTTCCAGGGTTCACATGATCAAAAATTGGCAAAAATGCTAACCTAATTATAAATGTAGAGTACTCATTAGTATTCAAAAAAAATTATCATTTTGATAATTATGGAATCCACAAACTGATGTCTTAAAATATSTTTCAAAGAAAGTATTTTTAACCGATTTGAAGCAATCTTTCTTTGTTTAGCGAAGCGGCGGCGTTTCTTTTTTGTATAAATTTGTGATAAAATGAAATTAGCATTCAAACTCAATAACACAAAAACCTTCTCATGTATTGAGTTTGTTGTACAAAAACTCTGCACTTTAATATCGGATATCCCCTCAAAACAAATACTGAGGGCGCCGAAAAACGTATTGTTAGAATTTCAATTAGTTCGATGGTGCTTGTGGCGATATGATAAATTGATCTCTGTTTCTGACWTACGTATTTACCGAAGCTTATGCAATTCGTCCAACCAAAAAACAGGCTTTTCTATGAGGTCACGTATCTTCTCAAACGTGTTTTGGAGACTTGATTGTACGTGCTAAATGTTAACTTGAAGCGGACGCAAATCTTTGACCTTTTTGAGAATTTCAATAAAACATACATGGCATATGACAAGTTATTTTAATAGGAAGACAGAATTGTTGTGGGAAACGTTTTCCTGTAACTGCAACAAATATCTCTCAACCACTTTGACCTTGACTGATGACTTAGGGTATGTTGCGTCTGAAAATGATATACACCATTGAGTAACTCCATTTGTGGAATGTCTAAAGACTTCTAGACCCCTCCTGATGGATCTTAGAACACATGTGTGGTCCCTAGAGATTACTCAATTGTTTTGTCTTTAGAGATAAAAGGATATCTCATCTCTTCATTTTTCCTATTTCCCCTTATTTTGACTTTTGGTGGTCTTGCTTTAATGTACTTGATTAAATTTTTCTATTTTTTTTCTTACGTTCCTAACATTCTATTTTAATTGTCTTCTACTGTTGATGTAATAAGTATAGCAGATGTGCTTTAATATTCATATAATATTTTTAGCATTTTTCCTTGTTTGATTTTGCATTAATGAAATGAAGTCAACCTAGATATTGTCAGAGTGGTAGATTTAGACTGGGAAGTCTGTTAAACATTGAGACTGTAGCCTATGTCAGTTTTACATAGGTAACATTAACCTTCTGGGGCTGATTGAATGAAAGGTCTTACTATAGCTTTTCCAACCTTCATTATATTACATTCTGCTGGTCACTGTTGGAAAAATATGTCTTTGTTGTTACACTTGTAGTTGCTACTCTTTTAAATGTTGTGTGGGAGGAAAATTCTGACCAAATCTATCCTACCTGTTTATATTGCTTAATTATGTTTAATCAGAGAACATAAAAATATATATACCATTTTATTTATGTTTTATGTTTTTGATGAGATAAAAATGAATCTATAGACGTTGGTAGAAAGAACATAATAGGCCGAGTCAATCATTGAGGCTGTTTAAATGGTCAATGATTTTGATATTTGACATGGGTGGACCCACATGTGCTTTGGGTACCACCCCTCCATTAGTAAGCAGCCAGTCTCACTGTAATACTATATCTGAAAGATGTTATATATTTTGCAATGTTTAAGATGTAGAGATCTAAGGGATTGATAAAAAAAACCTGGTTGACTTTATATCATTTTTGAACCAGTATCTTTGCTTTAGTACATTTAATTTGGTTATTGAAAGTACTGGACCTCATGTCTCCAGCTTCTGTATAAACAATCCTAAGTGTTTCTTAAGGTGAAGATAGAATTTAATATTATTGGTGATGTATAGAGTGCACGCTATATCCATGAAAGATGATAAAACATGATGTATTTTGTCTAATTGCACTACTTAGTAAGAAATATCAATGAAGCAGAACAGCCAATGGCATTAAATATATCTTTAAGTTTCTTTGTGCTGTTTATAATCCATGGCTAGTTGATAACTACGTTCCCTACACTGTATTATAAGTGAATATAACTAAGATTGTGTGTGAGCAAAAATTAAACAGCTGCGTCACAAATGCRCACTCTTTTCACACTTATTCAGCTGACGCAAAATATTGGTTCATCACAACGAGTCCTTTACACCTGATAATGGCTTAAGTGGCATTGATAAAATACTGTGAATTTGTTCAAAGTGGTTTTCAGTGACATTATYATGATCATTAATACAAAATGATACATAATAAAGCTATACTCTTACATATGGAAATCATGTTAAAAAGGGTGTTCTATGATAGCACACCTCTTTGGTCTCCTCAGGTTATGGCTTACTTTATTTTGAGGGCAACTAAGATAGAAAAAAATCATTATACATTATTCTTTGGCTATAACAATTAGTATGTAGAATCAGCCCCTCTTGAACTTTATGTGTTTCTTGTATAATTATTTACAAATTCCTTCGATGCACCTTTAAGATGCTCTTTCTAAGGCTTTGTACACAGATGAGGAGCTGTATTCTGATCGAAACAGTTGTTATTGACATTTGCCTGCAGTTTTTGCTTTGTTTATTTTACTGTCAATGCAGTTTTCTCCTTTTTCTTCATTTCCTGTTTTTTGAGAAAAGAATATAAATCATCAAGAGTATAATATTTGCCAGTCTAATTTCGGGTATTTTCTGCGCAAAAATAATAAAATAAYTTCTTGAACCATTTTCAATTAAAGAAGAATCCAACAGAATGAGGATTTGTTCAAAAAAATCTKCATAGAAAAGAGTTAACTAACTTATGCTATTAATTTTTGTTTGTGTCTTCTTTTTGAATAAAATAAAATAATTTGATTAGTAGATGATCTTAATTTCTTGAATACATTGAATATGATAGCTACTATAGAAGATGAAACCTGATGAACCTAGAAAATAGATCAAGCCGCCAATGGCGACACAACTCGAAGTTTTTCTAAGCGCAAATCTGGACATAAGTCTGTATAAAGCCTCTTACGAACGATAAAAATTATAGAATCGATGAGCATTAAATCACTAATCGACGTGGATCGGAATAATCCTTGAAATCATCGTAATAGAAGTGCTGTATTTATGAGCCATATTCACACGATATCTCCTAAAACGACTTCTGAAATCAACAGATTCTTATACAAGAACTTCCAGACCTTAAAAATCACATTTTGTGTGTTTAAAAATCCATTTCTGTATCAAAACACCTGGCCATCTTGGTTACGGATTTCTAAATGCCCGTATGTTTACAGAAAAAAATTAGTGACTAATTAACTAGTCCCCCTCACACATCATCTCCCTCATCTCCCTCCTATAACTCTTCGATTGCTTCGCAATCTTCGAGTTAAAAATGGAGGATACAACTTTTTTTGTGGATATATCAAGGAATTTCATAGTCAAGGAGAAGGAATTATTAAACCAAATGTTGAAGTTGCTATAAACTTGTTGTATAAAGGTTTTATTCTGACCACCAATGGTGTTAATCTATGGATTAAGATGCAACAACATATGGCAGCTTTTAGTGATCTTTGTACACACCATACAACTACAGTWMAACAAACTTTTTTTAGAAGGTGAAATGATTAAAGAGTACAAAAAGAAAAATGAACTTCTTGTGGCATTGCTCAAGTTCATTTATTAAAACTAAGGARTTGTCTTGTATAACTGTAGAAAAGTCCTTACATTTGAGCTCTGAGAGATGTAGAAAGTAACTTTTTGAATTCAAGGTGAAAGTTGGCAATCACASAAAAGTTTCATGGCCATTTATTCAGTGAAATAAAATTCAACATCACTTTTTGTCCTTTTTTAGTCCAGTTTGGAMCCCTTTTTGCATGCAYGTGCTGATAAATTTGCATTTATGACATGTTGCCTTTTATGCTAGRGAAAAAAAAACAATAAAATTAACATTTATTATTCATGTTTGATTAACAATGAAATTCCAGTTGTAAAATACATTGTTTTTTGTTGATCAWTATAAGATCTTTTAAAGCTGGCCACATATTCAATTTCTGGTAAAGTGTTTAGAGCAATAATTAAAAATGTGAAAGTTGACCACATATAGATTTAATGTTTCTGTGTTTAGTTACTGCTTAGATTTGTTTCTGTGGTAAGTTTAGGTAAAGTTAACAGGTGTAGTTGTTGACACACTGGTTGCTGTATTCAAGTCTCATCAAGTATTAATAACTTCACAATTTTTACAATCGTAATCCTTCTTGTCTTCACAGAAAGAACAAAAATACTGTATTTTGACATCAAGGGATTAAAGAAAAAAATGTTTTGTTGCCATCATTAAAGGATTTAAAAAGGAGGACATCATTATAATAAAAATTGTTTTACTTTACTGTTATATTATAGTAGTTTAAAAGCTAGATATACGTTATTAGATTCTAATGCATTACAACTAGGGTTAATATAACCTTTTTCTGGCTCTAAAAGTGTTAAAGTTAGCAAAATATTGTTGGTTCTAATGCCTTTCTTTTGATTAAAATGTTGTGAATTGCTTTATTTAAATCTCTGTGYAAATCATTTTTAGATCTATTTATGTTCTGTCCGAGCTGAATCAATTTTGGTTACACTCTCTGCTTATTTATGTGTTTTAGGTAACAGTACAATATTTTATTGTTAGATAAAATTAGTGTAGAGATTAAATACAAGGTGTTTTTATTGTTATTGCTAAGTGTATTTCGGGCAGGATTTTTTTTTTTTTTTGCTCTATAATTTGAACCTTTGATTCTTAATTACAACAATCATAATGGAAGTGCCATATTCTCCTTCCAGCTGTTTGATATTGTACGTCCTGATTATGTCTAGACAAGTCTGCTTCTGCTGATTGGTTTCATCGAAAGATGTTTCTATCAATATTCACAAACTGTTTGTACTTTTGTATCAGCAACTTTTAAAATATGAATAACTTCCTGGATTCCTCTTCTCCATTAATCCATTATTGTTCGCTGCGTGAACTCATAAATGCACCTATGAGGTAATGTCTATACACACACAAAAAAATAATGTAGTCACCTCGCCATATTGTCGCGTCGTCTTTGCATGCAGTAGTCTGTGTCTAGCATACACCTGTAGTCAATTTATTTAGTGAATTTATAAAATAGACAGGTTTTAATACAAAAGAAACTTTGTTTCAAAATAGAGTTTATCCACATTTTATTTCAAAAATGTGTTACCCACAGGTTAATACATAATCAGTGTGAAAATCGAGACATTCGTACATGGGGAACTTGCTATGCCGCAGAACAATAGAGAGTTCTTTAGCGCATTGTTACTTAATATCATTAAATTTGCTATATTCTTTTTTTGTTTTAATTGTTGATTATTAAATTTAGCAATGTTAGGTGAGTTAGATTTTATTTAAATTGTTTTCTTTTGCGCAAGTCATTAAATTTTCCAGCTTTTCTGACTGTGACAATTTATATACAGTCATTCCTGCAAAGGTTGAAAAAAAGTTAAAAAGAGATTTAAAAAAATGAGAAGWACAAAGTCTTATATTTTGTTTTCTTATGTTTTCACGTGTATGTCTAATTGTGTTAGAGGGTTTAAGCATCACGTTCAACGGCAAACGGCAGAGCTGAACCAATGACCTTAGAATTTCGTGCCTGACCTTCGTTTAAGCAACCAGCTTTCAGGAGCATCTGAATAAAGCATTTGTGAGAATTTACTCAACTGTGCTTGTTTCTTTCCAATAATATCATGTTATATAGACAGCATGAAATGTTCCACAAACAACACTCAATGTATTTGAAACACATGATGTTGTCAGGCCATAATACAATAGAATGAGTGAATTCATATTTTATACAATATAACAGCAGGGTTAACTTCAGTCACGGTCAACTGCCATTTTTGAAATCAATCACCATTGTACGTGGACTGCTGAGGGTCACAGTTTTGCGAGAACACATGCATTGTTCGTTTGTTCATTCACTTGAAGGCACTTGAAATAAAGTTTTGTAGAATATGTATTTGTACCTATGTTACAATGTGTCATCAGATATCATTTCTTTGTATTTCAAATGGAATTTATATAACTAGACAAAACAGAAATATTAATTAACATATAAGCGATCCAACTGAGTGCTTCCATGCTAACTACCTGTCTCAAAATAACTTTCTTTGTGCGATGATATTGCAAAGCACATGTTTAATATACCCTGTGATAATAATAGTTGTAAACACATGTAAGGTCAAGAATAATGTGTTATTACATAGAATTATGGTGTTAAAACAAAAGTAGTTACTAATACACAATATRTTCCATATAATTGAATAATACAATCCTCCAAAAAGATGGATTTATATATCTAAATACTCTTAGGTCTGTTAGAAATTGGTGCATGGTTATTATATAGCCAGTGGACCTTGTAGACGGCATCTGCAGTAAAGAATTACACATACATATTACAGATTGGCATAAAAACAAGAATCATTATGYTTTAATCATTTCTAACTTGATCACCACACAAACTTGATTTTAAGGTTTTCACTAGCCAGCTCTAATCCTATATCTTTGGTTGTCAACAGACAGCTTAAATACATAAATGACCATATGAATCATTAGTTATTATAATTATATATATTATACAGCTTAGAACTATTTTTGTTACTTCTTTGCAGTATCAGGTTTATCCATTAAATCACTTACAGCAAGTTCAGACAAAGGCAGCACCTCACCAGGAGGCAAGGACCAGCATTCATCGCCAGTCTCAACCTCAGCTGCTTATGAACAATCGCAATATGGACAGTCAATGTCTTCAAATGCACAGTCCCCAAACACTATACCATGTTCAGCAGATCCATGCCCAATCATTGTACGTAACTTGCTATGGCACTCTGTATTACGACAYCAAAGTCCTGAAGCTGACAGCTTCAGTCGGAGAGCAATTGAGTCACTGGTGAAGAAACTTAAGAAGAAATATCATGAACTTGATTCCTTAATAGTTTCCATAACTTCTAAAGGACGATCGGCATCAAAATGTATTACTGTTTCCAGAACTATGGATGGACGGTTACAGGTTGGAGAAAAGAAAGACTTTCCTCATGTTATCTATGCAAGGTTATGGAGATGGCCTGAAGTCCATAAGATGGAGATGCGACATAAAGATTTCTGTCAGTATGGCTATGATCTTAAGCATGATAAAGTTTGTGTTAATCCCTATCATTATGACCGAGTCCAACCTCCTGGTAAGTATAAAGCAAGCCATCTACTTGTTTTAAACAATATTGTTGTTGATGTTATCTTGGGATTTCTATTCTCTGATATTTTAGATGAAAATGATAGCTAGATGACCATGTTTTTATGATCAAATTGTAAAAGTATTCTTTGCCAGCCTCCTGCTATAAAAGGCCAGAAATATATAGTTTCTCTGCCTGAAAATATTGCTTATGTCTCTGTCTTCTTACAAAGTCACACCATAGTTGGAGAATAGTTGGGGAAGCAAARAGCATTACTTATGCTTCCATTTCTAAGCTTGCTTCTCTTGTAAAGTACTCTCAATATATACATAGCTCCCATCAACTGGGTCAAAGTCATAAGAAGATAGACAATATGCTACTCCTTTGTAATTTTTATCTGCTGAACAGAAAAACCTTACTCTTTAGGCAGATCTGATGCAACTATCAAATTCAAACATTTTTCTCAATAATATAATATATTATATATATCAATGAGTTATTTGTTGCACAGGAATATGAGAATGTTCATGTCACTCTCATGAGTAATGAGTTTATTTGTTATTATATGAAATTGTTTCTCACCAGACTGGTTCAGAAATTCACTCTACGTCACATCTGGAAGGACGAATGTATCACCATCTGGTAAAATAGCATTTTCATGATTATGTCTTAACTGAAAATGATAGTTTTGTAACATTTTTTGTTGTGTGAAATCATAATTTTAGATGAAGATTCACAGCAGCAATTGCTTACTCCTCCACGATCTCAAAATATTGAACGATCTCCAGAAAATCACAATTCAAGAGGTCTGCACCAGTACCCAGTGTCTCCTTCAAATAAAAGTCCACTTTCTTCAGCTCATTACCATCATGGACAGATGCTTTTTAAACGGAAAAGAGAAAGGTGAATATAAATATGATCACATGATAAAATGGCAACCTTCAAATAGCCTTATTACTTACTTATACCATTAATCTCTGTGGAGATTGTAAGTTGTGAATTTAGATTGTGTATGTTTAGTGGACATTTGGGCCTATAGCGGGCAATGTAGCCAAATAAACAAATGGTAGAAGAGATTCCCCAGCAGTTCCTCAATGATAATAACATCTTTACTTTTACAGAGTTGATTCAACAAGTTCATCAGCTACGGGATCAAGTGAAGAAGACCAAGAAATAGATGTGGAATCTAGTTCTGAAACTTCTTCTTATGATTTTAAAAGAAGAAAGGTACAAATCAGAAAATTAGAATGTATTGAGAAATTGTAAAGTAATTTATGACAATTATAGTTTCGTATTAAGTCAACAAAACTGTGGAATTTGTATTCTGAATTGCCATTGCCATTTCTTTGTTAATTTGATTGGTATGGCATGTAATTTTTTCTTGTAAATAATTGCTCTTTTAGCCTATGTATTTGAATATATGTTTTGATATTTTCTCTTTGAGTAGTATGCTACGAACATGGCTTATGGGCATGATAATGAAACCTCAAGAGGAATAGAAATTGCAAAACATCTTGAAATGTAAGTTTGTAAAGGTTCATTTTTTGTCAGCAAGTAGTAAAGTACAATGTAAAGTAAATAATAATAGTAATAACATAAAACATTAGAACAATCCACTAGTAGAAAAAACTAGAATGGAACAGCTGCTTATAACAATGCTAGCAACTGTCTTTATGTTTCTTTGTTTGTTCATACAACTGTTGCCTTCTTTCTCAGAATTCGATGTGCTTTGTGTAATTGTGAGGATAACAGCAGTTTGGGTCAAGGTCACTTAATATGCTTTGGTCAGCTYAATCCAAAATCACCCAAAACTGAATCCCCAAGGATGCCACAAGTCAATGGATACTCTGGAAGCAAGCATMTCATGCAAGCATATTCAGAAAAATGGCATCACWCCACACAAAACATCAAAGCAAACAATTATAATGATGGGATATCAATAAGAACACCCTCTGCACATCATGGAATGKTGAATAGTGTCCGCCATGATAGGTATGTGTTTTATAAATTAATGTAGTTACTTGTAAACAAATTTTAATTTATTATTATAGTGGAATCATAAGTGAACACTCCCAGGGAAATGGCATCATTGTCCATTTGTTGAGCTATTTGTATATACAAGAGAAAGTGCGAATAMAGTGTTTCTTTCAAAGAAAATAAAGTGGGGTTTTGGAAAGCTGTCCACTTGCAAGAGTGTCCGCAAATGGAGACTCAACTTTGTATTTGTTTGGTATGCCTTTAGAGTTTTGACTTATTTAATTTACTTTTTGATACCATTGTAGGTGTCCTACACCAAATGGTGTGCGTAAAGTCGGATTCCAGACTGAGCCTCARTTGGTGAATTTATGTGATTCGTCRGGACGTGTCTGGGTCCATGAAAAGTGTGCTGCTTGGACATTATCTTCTATAGCTTATAAATCAGTCACTGGTTTAACAGTTGACATCACCAATCAGATTCTCACAAAAGTGAGTTATTTTGTTTGTTTGTTTGTTGTTGTTTTTTGGATACCTATGATGTTCTTTTGTCAGCACACTGCATGACTTAAATTATTATTTTATTTACGACTAGTCATTGTAATTTTATATACCAAGGTATCACTTATAGATAATGTTGAGAAAAGCAGAGATTATCAAGTGTTTGCTAAATGTATTTAATCATTTTTTTACTCCTTCAGAAATGTTATCATTGTGGTGGTTATGGTGCAAGTATTAGTTGCGAGGTTGAAAGCTGTGAAAAATTATATCATTATCCATGTGCTATTATTTCTGGAACATATCAGGTACATCTTCATCCAGCCWCAGTCTATATTACATCAAAAACATGTTCATATTTTTTGGTTGTTTTAGCAAGAGAAAAACAATYAGAATTAAATCTTCTTGCACTTCTATTAGGATGTAAAGAAAATGGAACTGCATTGTCCAGAGCATTCATCCCTAGTTGCTTCTACAGGTTTGTATAATATTATTACAATCTTTTCTTSTTGTTGTTGTCATAATTACTTTCAACTTCATCCACTGTTATGTTTTCTCCCACTTTTTCCCATTTTACTGTACTTTCTTCAGCTTCACCACACCATCCCAACTTCCCTTTCCATTCTGTTATACTAAAGGTATATAATAATTTAATTTCTATTGTAGCATATTGTGAAAAGTGTAAGTCAGGTACAAATGATCCRTCCAACCTGTTACTGTGTACACGCTGTGGATATCACTACCATGGAGAATGCTGTTCACCCCCTGTACATCCCAATGAAGTGATCAGAGCAGGYTGGGAATGTTTAATGTGCAAGACATGCCAGTCATGCAGGTGAATATAAAGTGYATTAGAATTATAGYAATGCACTTACAGGCTATTAAAATGCAATATACACCTATTTGAAAAATGTTGTTGTGTCGAATAAGGTGGTATCAAGAACCTAACAACAAAGGGGATTTTTAATGCTCAGAAATTCAAGTTTGCCATGGCATGTTTAATTATAGTTATTACTTGTAGAGAAGGTTATTTTATTCAGTGCAGGCAATATTTTCTCACAGCAACACTGTTATACTCATAACATTTGCTAAGCAGCTACATGTAGCAGCATAAATTATGCCAATTTAACTCAAATCATATTTTTTTCTAAAATTACAGGCAACCATCTCCTCCAGAAAGACTTCTGGTTTGCAGGTCATGTGATAAAGCCTATCATCTTTTTTGTACTGATCCTGTTGGGTCTGTTAAAGATAAACTCACCTGGAAATGCGAGGTAAGTATAGTTTCCTATTGTTTCTAACATAATGATTTATCTATTTGTTATCATATAGAGTCTTTCTTTTTAAATTAATTATCATCAATCTTTTTCAGAAATGCCGCAAGTGTAGGAATTGTGGAACAAGAAAAACCAATCAGTGGTTCGTTGATTACTCGCTGTGCAATGGCTGCTATTATCAAGTTCACAAGTATAATAGCTGCCCTCTGTGTAATCACACTAAYGGACAGAGAAAGTCAGTACAATGTGACTCGTGCAGCAAGTAAGATGTCTTATTTAATGTATTGTAGATTTATGTGTCTATGTCAGACATTTCCTAAAGTGATGAAAGAAAAGTGCCTTTTGATTTTAATTTTTTTGTTGTCTTTTACCACCAGGTGGGTTCATGCATCATGTGATAACATTACTCATGAGATATATGAACGGTTACAAGTAGATCCTAGGATCATCTATGTATGTAAAATATGTCGTGAAGAAGTTGAAAATACCAAAAAAGATAATCAAAAAGAGGTAAAATTATTGATTGCCTTATGATTTCGTAAAAAAAAATTGGAATTGACAAACTAGTCCAGTTTATACTCAGTTATTTAAAAATAAAAGGTATTAAATGTTGATGATGCATGTGATCTCAAATTTAGTTCCTTAGTAAGATTCTTATTTGGTATGTTTACTATATTTTCTGTAGTTAAAGAAACCAGAGCTTGCAGAGCTCGAAGGAGTGTCGGGCCCCACTTCCACCATGATTACATTGGCAAAGTACAAACCGATGCCTTCATTGGGAAACTACTTCAAGACTGTCAAACCAATCACCCAAACTACATACTCTTTCCTGACAACCGAGCCGCTGCAATGGTCCCGTTTACGTATGACATACTCGTTTGAATATGTCATTATGAAGCAACATGGAAAGGTGCTGTTGTAATATACTTAAGTTCAGTATTGAAGATAGTGTAGTATTAGCATAGACAATCAAGATTAGAGTAGTGTAGACTTAAGGAAATGTATAATATGTTATGTATTTAGAGAAAATGCTGAAAATATTGGTATTAACAGTAATGATCCAGCTAAGAACCCTCATTGCTCTATATATATGGAACTGTTGAAACTCAAAATAACATAGTACTTCAGTCTAATAATGTTAGAGTGAAGATGTTCTTAAATGTTCGACTTTATTACTCTTTAAACACTGACAATGTTAACTTAATGGTTTTGCCCTCTAATATTAGAATCCTCACTAGCTTTAGATAAAGTATGTACTTGAATGCTAGGGGTCCAACACTAATATTGAGGAATTAGTATAGTCAAACTGTTAATGAGTTTTAGAATATTTGCTATTACCTATCTTTAAGCTTATTTACCCCTTCTAGATTAGTTCTAATTAGATGAATTTGTAAGCCAAAACAACCTAGCTAAAAATTTGATTATTCTGACTTGGATGTGCTTTCAAGCCATCAATCTACTAACAACTATCTGTCGTCAATGTGTTACTCTTTGCATTGTACTGAGTAACAATGATTTGACCTTCAACTTATGTTGAGAACTTACTGCTTGATATCAAACACTGGTAAACTTCTGAAGTTGTTTGTTCTTAGCTGCCTCCATTACTTAATGGTCACAGGTTCATCTACGGGATCATTTAATGATAATTTGCTTTTTTATAAATTAAAGAAAAAAATATATTAATTCATGAGGTCAGTGTGTGTATCTCACAATGTTTTATACTTTGTTGCCATTCTATTCATATTATAAAATTATATTTAAAATAATAATCTGAGCTATCTCACTTTCCTATGTCGCGCAATACAGTGCATTCATATTCTGCCAATTTATTGTGCTTATTGCAGAATATCACAAATTACTACATGCTCATTAAAACAATGTTGTAAAATATGAATTTACTTGTAAATATTCATTTGTGAAAATGATGTACCAACAAACCTTGCTATTTATTTATGATGATAATTTCTCTATGGAATCATTTGCCTGGTCTGAAAAGACATTTATGTGAGCTATATATTTTTGTTTACTTTTGCATGCCTSTAGTTCCAATTTTTCAAGTCGAAACCATTTGTGGCATAATGCAATTATATCAATTACTATAAAATATATAATAATTCATGAATTGCAAAATACACACAAATTGACATTATACTTTAGACCAACAGCGTATAGGATCTTAGCTGTAATTTTGTAAGGTAGAAGTGCTAGACAAGAGAATACTAGATAAACTGTCTTATGTATTTTTAATTTTTATGAATCACAAATTTTTTGAAAAAAAGTGTCTGTTTATCAATATTCAAACTTACTCAAAATGCAAAAATCTATATCAGGAAACAAATTCTAACTTTATATTTAATTGAAATATGTATCATATAATAAAAGGATTATATATGAGATAAATACAAAATGAGCTGGCAAACTGTATGTGATGGACATTAGTGAGTTAAAAACTATGGCCTGCAACACATTTGTCAAAATTTAGTCAAATTGTGCAAAATAACTTGCCAAACCATTTTCTTAGACCCATGTCACAAAAATATGTGTTGATCAGCTGACTTTTCCATTTTAAATTGTGACAGTGAAAATTCCTGTATTCCAGTGTTGCAGGCTATAGTTGAAAACAATTGTGATATTGTAAATTACTGTTATACCGTTTGAAATACTAGTACTATTTATTTACTTCTGTATATAAATTTTAGCAATAATTCCTTTATTTTCTAAACCTTGCAAATACTATTTTCAATTCTTTTTTTTTTTACATCTTGGTTTACTTTGCTACTGATCAAACCAAGCCGGGTAACATAAAAYTATTAGTGTTTATCAATGGACAGAATAAAAAATGTGCTAAAATTGCCCAATTCTTAAAATTAGATGTTTGGGCTCAAGCATGTTTTAATGAAATGCATTTATGACATTAAGTCGATTAAGTTTAGTATTTAGAAAGTCAATTAAGGGAGTTTTATAAAGAGGTTGGTTTTAGTTTTCAACACTATTATATTAGTATAAAACACACATTCGATGCATTGCTTGCATGCAAGCTTGAAACTTCATTTTCAATTGAAAGTATTGTAATATAGAATTCCTATGAGACAAAGGCCATCGACTACAAAATTGCTTGATATTTTTGGAGCTGCTGGCCTATCTGTAAACATGTTTACCTATTTGCCAAAAAGTAGCATGTTTCAGACTTTGTCACAAACTTTGCCTCCCTTTTGCACACCCGTGCTCAAWTTCTGCAATAATAATATTGATAATTTCACAATGCATTACAGTGGAAATCAAATATATGTGGAAKTTGAAGTATTCTCCTTTAGGAAATTAGTGAGTTCCAAGTTTGTACTGCGATGGACTATAGCAATAGGATATTCAAATATCTTGGACTATATCTGATTTTCACTATAATATAAATGGCAACAAAATTTACATTTAGCCACATTAACACATAGCTGTAATTTAATAAAAGTTGTCAGTCATTAGTGTATTTTAGTACACGTTTATTTACTGCACACATTGATATATCTCAGCTATATTTATCTATATATAYCCTACATGAAAAATAATAATTGTGAATATAAAAAATATGAATGTTCAACTATTTTTGAAATATTGTTCTACTTGGAAACTAAGTCAGTTCTACAAATCGTTTGATTCACTTCTTGATCAAGTTGAAATGTGAAAATAAATCCTTTTAAAATTTATTAACATGGGTTTKGTTGTTTATTTGTTTACAAGTGATATACATGTACTCTGGGGTAGAGGCGAAACACAAGTCCAGATATTTTAGTTTCCAGAATTTTTTGTATCCAAATGCAAGTACCTACATTCACACAGTGTATACAAATAGTATACAACCATACACAGTGTCTCTTTAGATTTCTAATATACGGTGGATAAGTTAGTGTTGATGTTAGCTGCATTTGAAGAAAAACATTTTTTGTGGATACAATCTTTCTGGACTAAAGTGAACAGGGCCTTAATMTGTGAATAAACAGGACACTAAGCTCACTACAAAATAACCTTAATTTCTACATTCAATGGAGCATTCCAACCTAAGACGCATCTCTACAAAAAGAACTGACAAAAAGAACTGAGTTGTCTCCCTCCCCCCTCTCATGAAAAAAACTTCAGTATTTTTTAAAAATGAAAAGGAAAGCTATGATACATTTTATATGGTTGTAAAAAAATATGGGCCAAGTGAAGAATGTAAACATTTTAAAACATTGTTTTTTTTTGCAGTTGTTTTTCTTAAGGACTATAATNTGAGATGTTAGTTGGCAGCTTTGTATATGATCAGATTCTTTGCGGTGATAACTGGCCTTCTTCAAAAGCATCACTGTCATGGGTTTCCTGTCTTTTTGCTGAGAATAGAGAGAATGGGAGCAAGAGAGGGGAGTTAATTGATGTAAATTCCCCTCCCCTTCTTATTGTTCGTTTCTCCTCACTAGTCCCTAACATTCATGACCGTTACAAGGAAGCCCAAAATAGGATAATCGAGTTGCTTTTTTGGAGGTTATACCACACTCTATTTACACTTTCAATTCATATTTGTTTAGCTACTTCCTGTGCTTTCTATAGTCTCTTCTATCATGTCTTTCCTTTTTGTTAGTATTTGTTTTGGTATCTTTGGTTTCAGGTATTGTTCCTGGTAAAATACCACTTTCAGAACCTTTCACAAACCGAATCAACATTTTTGGATTAAGTTTTTCATTAATACGGAGAGTCTCTGCATATTCTATGACTTTTCCAAGCAGCTCCTTCTGTTGTTCTTTAGACGGAAGCACTTCATCTTCTTGCGTTAGACTAACATTACACATCTGTTCTTCCTTGGATTCTTCTTCTTCACTATCAGACTCATTAAACACAGATGCTGTTGGTTTAGCTAAAGATGGTTTCAATTGTCCAAATTTAGATGATTTTTTATTTAATCCAAATGACATACTTGGAACTGTCTTTTTGCTCAGCCCAAATGACATTCCTTTTGACTTATCATTGTTTTGTGTGCTACTTGGTTTAGCTGGTGAAGATAAACCACCAAATTTCATAGTAAAAGGTTTTGTTTCTTTACAATCTGTGRCSGTTGGTGGWAGYGGTGGCGGTGGTTCTGTAGGAGGAGGTGGGTGATCAGGAGGAGGAGGAGGTGGTGGTGTATTGTCATCAGGWGGTGGTGGRGGTGGTACAGCAGTAAATCCTCCAYAAGTAGAAATTGGTTTGAATCCACCTTTGGATGKACCTTCGCTGCTYRTAAARGTGTCTGATACTAACTTGAAGCTACCTTGAAGTTCTCCACTGCAATACAATATTAYCCTGATTAATACAACACATTTTTACTACATTTTYCATGRAACTACAACATAAACCAAAGTCACTAAGACTTCTCTTAGTTTGTGAACATTATGGTTTGCAGTCTCAGTTGAAAACATTCCTATTTCAGCTGTCAACATACAGCTTTTAGTTATTTTACTTTTTCTGTTATCAATAGGAGATTTATAATTATAAGGGGCTTTATAATAATATGTTTTACAGTATTTTCTTAGTAAACCAAAAACATACCTTCTTCCAGAATTTTGCTGTGCTATTGAATGAAGCCTCTGTGTTTCCTTTTCCATTTGTTTTTGCTCTTTTCTTTTTTTAGCATCTGCACAAACAAAAATTTCCACAATTAAAATAATAAAATGAATAAAGCTGGCATACATACATGTACAGTTTGAAAAACTTCTCAGTGTTATCTATACTCACAGATATTTCTTGTGGTTTCTCTTTGCTTGAGATCTTTTAATCTCTGTCAAAAATAAAGTAACATCACACCTAAATTGTTATTCCAAACAGTATACAACTTCTAATCTTAGTCACAAATAACAATCTGAGCACATACTTGTTTGTGTGCATGACTGTATGAGTTGATGTGATTGTCATATTCCTTGTACTTGAAATATTGCTTGTCACACAGTTCACAATAAAACATGTCTTTGAGATCCTGAAGGCTTTC